CGGTATTATCAAATGTCTTAGACACAAAAGTCCAGCATGTGGCAAGGTCAGTTATAGGCATGTCCTGATGGCAAATGAAAGGACAAATTTAACCCATCAAAGTGGTCATCAAAAGAATGGAACCTATTATGCCTTTCTCTAGATACTCTTGGCTAGATTCAAAGTGACAGGACAAACCAGATCAAAACTAAATAGAGCTAGAAGCAACATACAAAATCCTAATGAACCCTTAGAAATCCAGGTATTGATCTGTCAACATCTAAGCTCAATTAGTCCTTTCAGAACAAAATACCTCATGAGGTGACAAGAAACTAGTCTGAGATCTGGGATATAAAAAGAACAAAACCAGTCACTTTATATAGCTTATTGCTAAGTGCAGTCAGACCACAAAATGGGGCTGGTGTGAGGATTAAGTAAAGACGTATGTCAAGCACCTACCTACTTAGTCCCGGAGCCAACACACAACCAGTGCTCAGCAACTGTCGGTCTTTCCCCAACTGTTCAAAGAACTGTTCAAGAACTCAGGCTTACCAAGTCAGAGATCATCCGACAGTTTAAAAAAAGCAAAAGAAAACCAACGAAAAATCTTATATGATGATAAAGACATCTTAAAATAATACTATAAAGTAGAAGATAGAATAATACTATAAAGTAGCAGATAGAATCATGAAAATAAAAAATATACGCTGAAAACATTTCCAAAAGGTTCATTCTTTATGGTCATGTACAACATTCATGTTTTGTGAAATTGTCTTCAGGGATGAGCTTTGACAAGAAATAGGTCGAATGCAAACTTATTCCATTTGGAAGTAAAACCCTGCAATGCTTTTTTCTCCAGCAGGTGAACAGTCTCATAAAACCTTCACCACCAGCTATACTTCAAGCTTTTAGCAATCCCAGTTTCCAGACAAACCAGTAACAAACTATAAAGCTAATTTTTTCATTGGAAGTGTTAAGTAACAGGGGTTCAATAAATCACTTACCTTCTAAGGAAAAATTTACTTTCTAACACAGTATTTCTTCCAATTTTAAGAAAATGAAGGTTGTTTTATTTACAAGCTGAAAATAGCAATACTATAACAATTTTTTTTTTTTTTGGAGAGGTTTTTGCTATAGGGCATGTGTGCTCGCCAGAAAGACAGAGAGAGACAGAGAAACAGAAAGCAAGAAATCACCCCCCAGGGGGGATGACCACACCACAATCCCTTCTCCTCCATTCTCCTCTTGGGATCTTGGGCACTCACGCACATGTGCCCAGCATGAGTCTAAGTAACCAGGTCCGGGACTTGAACCACGGTCGACTACATGGGAGTCCAGCGACACAACCATTACTCCAACTGCTGGTCCCCATATAGTGAAATATTTTTATGGCTCAAGAATGAAATAGTTAAGAAATAAAAGTATAGAGAGAAGACTTAGTCTAAGAAGTCTTGAAATAAAGCACCAGTGCTGCCAATTACTATATGACTTTCAGGAAGTTGCTTAGCCTCCCAGGGACCTGGCTTCTTATAAGGTTCTTTCCAGCTCTAAAAATAAGATTATTTATGGTATCTGATACTGTCTACAGTGCCTCTCCCATACATGCATATAAATGGCATGCATATACATGCACATACAAATACATGCATGTGTATGTCTTTATTAAATAATACAGATATATTTTCTAACTTGTAGTAAATTAAGGTCCATTAGGAAACAAAAAGAATGAGAGTGAGAATGAGTGTGTGTGTGTGTATGTGTGTTTGAAAGGGAAGGTTTCTGACCTACACATCATTCTCAGTAGTTAGAGTATTTACACATCCTCATGACACCTGAATTAACCGAGTAAGCCTTTAAACCCTTTCCATGAAACATTAAAATTCAACGTGGCTATAATCTCTTCCTTACAAAACATGGACCCAAAGAGCATGGCTTCAAATATGTTTTTTTTTTTTAAAAAAGAAGCAAAATATTCACCATCCAGCTCTTCCACAGGATCACATTAAAATACACACACACACACACACACACACACACACACACACACACACACATGAAAACTCATAGGCCCATTGTAATACAACGTACCACTTCTGAATGCAACACTTAGCTCAGGCTTACTACCCTGACAAATAAAGGAAAGCACTTTATGAAGCCAATTTAATTGGGAGGTGACAGAAAACATACAGCCATTTTCTTTAGCCTTATCATTGAAATGGCTTCAGCTCCAATCTCTGGCAAATCCCTCTCAACAGAAGAAATTAACCAGGTCAGCAGAACAGGTGCTACGTTGTGTCTGTCAAGGGCCTGGCATCGCCACAATTACTTGCACACAATGAAGCAGTAATCTTTACAGATCATCTCTCCCAAGAAGCATATTGGGGAGGGGGAGGAAAACTGAAGGGAGGTGGGGGCTGGGGGGAGAAGAAGAGGAATAGGAAGCTAAGAGAAAAGGCAGGAAAAGAAAATGAATGTGCAGCTGCCTTGCAGCTCAGCAGATGTCGGGATGTGATGTACGAGACTAGGATAAGCTGTCGTAGCCTGCTGCCAAAGAGCAGTAAGTGATTAAAGCCTGCACAGTTCTAAGCACCATATTTAGAATCTGCGGGGTTTCAAGATTTGCACCCATTCCTTGCTGTGCTGCCAGATGTTGGCAACTGGTCCAGTTCCTAGTGACTGTGCAGGGATGGCAGCAGTTGGTACAGTAGCAAAGCAATCTGGAATGCTTCCGGAGATGCTGTACATTAACAAGTGTCACCCATCACTCACCTTTACAGAAGGCTGAAACAACTCCAATTTGCTGCCACTTCCCTCTTGGGAAACAGCCAAGATAAAGTTGTGCCTGGCAGCCCCATTTGTTTCACTCAGGTGTTTCAGCTGCCTTGCTGACCTCTATTAGTTTAAGTTTTAATTTAGATTAACCCCAGCACCCCAATTAACCAGCAAGGGGAAAAGCTAAGATGTGACTAGTCATAACTCTGAAATCAGAATTTATCGAAGTTAAAATTATTAATTGGGATGAAGGGCCAATCAAGTAATGCTATTTCTTTTTAAACAGTCCTCCAGGCAAAAGAAAAAAAAATCTTTCACACTAAGGATCGCCAGTAGAAGCAACTTCTTCCCAGTAATTTCAGTTTATTTTATTAAGCCTATTTAATTTATGACGCACTTTCCATCGAACAATGTACACTTCAGTTAATGAGGACTGGAGCATTTTTGATTGTCTCTCGTGATCTCACACAATTATACAGCATTAATATCCCATATCGGGTACTTCCTTAAACACTGCAGAACAAAAGAGTTCCCTACTCTTCTGACAAATGGATATAAGACGAGAAGAAAAAGGAAAAAGAATCAGGACCTCTGACTGGGAACAGCTGAGGACACACCAATCCTCTTCCCTATACCCTCCCATCATTACTTTTAAAGCTCACTATGGCAATAATTTTATCAAATATTACAGAATTCATTAAAAGATTAATATAAAATCTCATTTTTTAAGGGCAAATCCAGAAGTATCCCCAACACAGAATCACTTGGTCTGGCTTTACTACCTTTCTTCATATCCATATATTAGGTCATTGCATAGAAAAATATGTCATGACTTTCCTGATGACCCAATATATATAACAGCTGTCATGGCTATACCTTTCATAAGCAGTTAAAAATTCTTAGGGAAAAGTTAAGACAATAAAAACAATTATCCAGATAAACAATGACTCAACAAAAACTGGGTATCACTGCTGAACAGCATCCTTGACCCTCCACTCAGCTTGAAAAGGTACAGACATCCTAAAGCATACTTCATCAAAAAGCATAACTTACCAAGAGACCCAGAACTACAAAAAGTTATTTTAGTTCTTTAGAACAGACCAAATGTTTACTCTACTTTAATAGCTTCAGCATCAGTAAGAGTAGTATGCCACCAGACAATAACATCAGGGGTAAAACAGGGGCAAAAAACAGGGGCGACATTTAAGAAGACATTGAGGACTAGACCACATTTCAACTTCTACCAACTCTTTCCATCTTCAGAGCATCATACTGTTATTATAATCAACAACAGAGACACTCTCACTACATATTTAACTGATTTGAACAGGCATAAAAAGACATTAAAAACAAGAAACATAACACAAAACAGAAGCAAAAGTGTAATTCAAGAACTCTGGAGCCTCAGCTCCATATTCCATTCCAAAGTAATGGGACAAAAGAAACAATCACTAACAAGTTCTCCATTAACATTATCAAACACAGCTGAGAAAGAATAATCCACTTGGGGGTCCACAGATGGCATGGTATTTGGGGCACTGGACTTCCACATGACCAGCATAGTTCAAGTCCCAGACCTGATGGCTTGCTTTCTTTTGCCCTTTCTCTCTCTGGTCAAATTTTTAAAAAGTAAAAATAAATAATTCTTTTTCTTTTCTTTTCTTTTGTTCAGAGATAAGTTTTTGCTATGCATGTGTACTCACCAGAGAGCAGAAAGAGACAGAGGCACAGAAAGCAAATCACCCCACGGAGGGTGGGGATAACCACACCACAGTCCCTTCTCATTCTCCTCTCGGGATCTTGGGCACACACAAACATGTACCCAGAATGAATTTTAAGTGCTGGGTCCAGGGCTTGAACTGTGGTCGACTAATGTGGGAATCCAGCAATGTAACCATTACAGCGTCCAATGGTCCCTAAAATAAATAACTCTTTAAAAATAAATAAATAAACAAACAAATAAATAAATAAATAAATAAAAATAAACCATCTGACTCAAGGAAGATGAAAATATTTCATAGATAATTTACACTAAGGCAACAACTTACGGTAGCTGTAGCTGTTTTCATTTCCAAAGGAAAACATAAAGCAGAAGAAAAACAACAAATCTAGAACACAGTAAGTCAATTCTCAATGTGAGTTCTAATTCCCTGACTCAGTCCTTCCCAAATGAGCTTTCTTTTGTTGAAAAGAATTCTATCAGCTGCCAAGACCAGATTTGTAACAAAAGAAGAGTGTAAAAATCATACCTGGTGGTAAAAGTCATCATCATCAAAGATTTCTTCATCCAAGTCTTTCAGGTGAGCATTGGCAGGGACTTGAGGAAGGACCTCCTGTATCAACAAGTATGGCAAAACTGAATCTCAATGAAATTAGCAAAATCATGTTGCTACTATAAATAATACGTAAGACAGTCAAAGCTTGAGGGCCCAGAAGGTGGCATAGGCATTGGGGTGCTGGATTTCCACATGATCGACTCCAGTTCGAGTCCCGGACCTGGAGACTTGCTTTCTCACTTTCCCTCTTTCTCTCTCTGTTCAAATTAAAAATAATAATACTAAATAAAATTAAAATAATTCTTAAATAAAAAAGACAGTCAAAGCACTGATATCCTTAAGATATAGGGTTCTTAAAATCAAAAACAGTACAGTAAAAAAATAGGCAAAAATATTAATAGGCAGTTAACAAAAAAAGAGCTAAATAATCAGATGAAAATATGTTTAACTTCACTCTAATGAAATACATGCAAATTAAAATATAGAAATACCATTTCCACTTCTTGGATTGACAACAGTACTGGAGAACACAGCTGGAGGGACTAGAATTAATGTAACCTTTTTTTTTTAAGAGAAGCTTTTGCTATAGGACATGTGCACCCATCAGAGAGATAAAGAGAGACAGAGAGATAGAAAGTAAGAAATCATTCCCTAGGGGGGATGGCCACACCACAATCCCTTCTCCTCCATTTTCCTCTCAGGGTTTTGGGCACACATGCACACGTGCCCAGAGTGAATTTCAAGGGACTCAAACCATGATCAACTATGAGGGAGTCCTGTGACCTAACTATTATGCCATCTGCTGGTCCCTAATGTAGCCTCTTTTAAAGCTACATGGCAACATCCATCAAGATTTAATGTATCTTCTTTAATATTTTCATTTCTAAAAATCTATCCATATGTTTACACAAAGTTGCAGAAATGAATGTTCAGGAAGTATTCCTGTAATACTGTTTTTAAGCTGAAAGACAACATAAATATCCATTATTGGAATAAATTATATTATATATATATCCATATAATGGAATACTCTGCAGTTAGTAGGAAAAACAAGGTAGGTCTTACATAATAATATGGAAAAGTGTCTAGGATATATTAAATTTTAAAAGGAAGTTATAAGATGTTATATATAGTTGTAATACCTTATATATTTATACACAAAGTTCATTTCATTTAGTTAAAAAAAGACAATTGTATTTTTATACATGTACTAATATTATATAAACAAAATATTGAAAGCTGGTTATAACCATTAAGAACAGATAAGTCTCAGAACCAAGTATTAAGAATAGGGAAAATTTTACTTTTCATTTTAAATTCTTATGAACTTTAAAAAAAAGCATTAAATATACATTTCTTTTTCTATTACTGAAAAATAGAAATGTTTCTTTTAACAAATCTTACTATTCTACTTTGGATCTTTTCCAGAGTACATAAATGACAAACATTAAGCCTAAAGTATGCACTAGCTTCAATACTGACATTTCTATAGAAATAACTTTAAAGCTGTATTTTTAAAAACTGGATTAAAAATGCTTCCATTATCAAGACTCCTGTATCAAAATCAAAATTAAGAGAGGATGACAACAGAGTTAATAAAGGCCCCATTTTTTTTAAGAAAAACTTCTTTTCCCACATGCTCTTGGTTTTTTAACAATCCAATAAAATAGTGCTGTTTTCCTTTCTTTTATTAACTTCTCATACCAGCATAATACCTATTTGTTTTTCAGTTAATTAGCCTCAGACAAATTGTCCCCCATAATCACCAGAACTCTTACCGGTTCTCCTGGCAAACACTCCGGAATAGGCTGAGCTGCTGGTTCAGGTTTACCAACTACTCGGTAGATAGAGCGCTTAGTCTGTGTTCTTCGAAGTAATCGTTCTTTGTCCATCAGAATATGATCGATCTGAGTCAAGATTGAGCGTTCAAAGGCACCAAAACCCTGCAACAAAACATTAACTAGTGTCAGATAATGCAGAAAGTCAGGGCTAAAGGCAGCCACACTGGTTTCTCTATTTTTCTGTGTCAGCAGAGAAATAGACAATCATCTTTCCAGGAGGGACTTTTGGTTAAGGACTGAGTTTGTGAGTGGCTGTAATTATTCTCAGAAGAAAAAAAAAATTAGTCTTAAGCAGGTCATACCACTTATCTATGCCCAGAGATTAACTTCTGCTCCTTTAATAGTAATTGTTTTAAAATCCATTTCTTTAAAGTGTAGTTTCAGTCCTTGAACACTTACAAGGCCTCAATCTCAAAAATAAAATATTCTTTCTAATAAAGTTAAAATCCCAAGTCTGTTTAAACCCCAGTGGCAGAAGTTCAGTAAATTTTGCTGCAGAAAAGACTGCAACAAGTACATCGTAGTAACACCCAAGTAAATGGGCATAATTCCAGTGTCTACACCTGCTTTGGATTGTCCCAACCTGTCTTACACATGCAAACACACACACACACACACACACACACGCACACACTTACCTTTCCCAGTTTTCCAGAACCCAGCTTGGTTTTATCATGCCACTTCTGAAGCGTGCGGTTCCTATAGACTGTGAAGTCAGCAAAGCGCTTTGCCATGAAGCTGGGATAGTCATCCATCTCCAGCTTCCTCTTTGGTGGGGCCCTTCTCTGCTTCTTCTCTTCTACCAGCTCATCATCTTCACTAGAAATCTCCTCACTAGAAATTCAATAACAACACCAAGTCCAAAGTAAATAAACAGATACTATTAATATATAAAAAACTAGGCGGCTCATGTGAAATAGAAAGTGTTGAGGCCTTCCCTACTCTGTATACCTTTTAAATAACACCAAAGATATGAAAATGGTGCTTATTATTTTAAAAAGATATTTTTTATTATTTTTTCTTTATTGCCAGAGGGCACATGCATTTACCAGAGAGGAAGAGAGAACAAACACCCCCAATGGGACTATTGCAGCTATGCTGCAGTCTTTTTTTCTCCATTTCTTCTTCCTGTCAGGAATTTTGGGCATGTAAGCACACACACCTGGCATGTTTTTCAAGTCACTGGTACTAGAATTTGAACAATGGTCTGCCACGTGGGATCCAGCTCCCTTAACCGCTGCAATGTCAAGTAGGCCTCAAGATATTTTTTTAAATAGTTTTTGTTTAAAGTTTATTTCTTTCAGGAACCAGCAGTTAGCGTAATGGCTATGTCGCTGGACTCCCACGTAATCGATCGTGGTTCGCGTCCTGGACCCGATGGCTTAAAACTCACGCCGGGCGCGTGTGCGTGTGTGTCCAAGATCCCGAGAGGAGAATGGAGGAGAAGGGATTGTGGTGTGACCATCCCCCCTGGGGGGAGATTTCTCGCTTTCTGTCTCTATGTCTCTCTCTGTCTGTCTGGCGAGCGCACGTGCCCTATAGCAAAAATCTCTCCAAAAAAAAAAAAGTTTATTTCTTTCATAAGAGTACAAAACAAAGAAAGAGAAAGAGAAGTAACCTCAATAGAGCCTCACGCCATAATCCCCCCAACCCCTGCAGCCTTCTCAGCCAGCCAGGATCATAGGCATATGTGTCCAGCTTTATAAGTCAGTCAAGGAAATGAACCTGTGATCTTCCATATGGACCCAGCATTGCTTGAGCAGAGTGTTACCACTGTACCACCAAGTCAGACCCAAAATGTTATTTTAAAAGGCAAATAAGTAGCACAGTAGTGGCACAACTGAACTCACTTGGCAAAGGCCCTGGCCTCAGGTCCTGGGACTTCCCTGAGCATGCTGGCATGCACATGCCCAAGATCTCAGCTGTCTGAGACTAGGGCTGGATTATGACATGGGGACATTGGTGACGATGCCTCTTAATCCTCTGTGTGTCTCTCTCTTTCACAGAATAAATAAACTTTAAAAAATAAAAATAGAAGACAAACTGTAAAAATAAATAAGGTTGTAAAAGTATTATTAAAAATGCATATGGGAGGACTGGGACCAGCGGGTGGCATGGTGGTTAAGGTGCTGGACACTCCCACATGGTTGACCACGGTTCAAGTCCTGGACCTGGTGGCTTGCTTTCTCACTTCCCCCCTCTCTCTCTGTCTCTCTCTGGTCAAATTAAAATAAATGGATGAATAAATAAAATTAAATAAATAATTATTATTTTTTTTAAATGCATATGGGGGACTAGCAGGTGGCATGGTGGTTAAGGCACTGGGAACTCCCATAGGACCGACTACAATTCGAGTTCTGGTGGCTTGCTTTCTCGCTTTCCCTCTCTCTCTCTCTCTGTCTCTCTCTGGTCAAATTAAAATAAATGAATAAATAAATGAAATAAAATAAATAATCCTTTTAAAAATGCATATGAACCAGACCAGTAGTGTTGAAGAATATTTAAAAATCAAATACACATGGGCCAGCAGGTGGCATGGTGGTTGAGGTGCTAACTCCCACATGGCTAACCATGGTTCAAGTCTGGGACCTGGCAGTTTGCTTTCTCACTTCCTCTCTCTTTTACCGCCCCCCCCCATCAAATTAAAAAACAATAATAAATAAAATTAAATGAGTCTTTAAGAAAAAAATTAAAGACATAGCTTTATTTCTATTACCTTAATCCCCAAATCAACATGGTATACATGTCTCTGTAACCAACTACTCAGAATAATATTAGTTGAATAATATTAGAAAAGCTAAACATGAAGAGAACTCAGGGGTTGGCCACAGAATCAGCACTAAATTTCATATCTGCAACCTCCATGAGAATGTAATATGACCTCCAACTGTACAGCCAATTATACTCACTGGATTACTGACCCCAACTCAGTGGGTGCTCAATAAATAAGAGTTTTCTTTGTGTCTTTCCAACTAGTTCAGAGAAAAAAAAAAAATGATCCAGACAATGTCACAGGGTAAAACGCAACACTGTGACACAATTCCATGTGGAGAGGTTCCTAGTCAAAGTTCAAAGTCCTCCCTGAGTATGGTAGGTACATGTCTACCCATGATCTGGGGCTGGCCGAAGACTGGGCATGGATTATAATGTCAAGACTGGGGCGGGGACCAGCAGTTAGAGTAATGACTATGTCACTGGACTCCCACGTAGTTGACTGCAGTTCGCATCCCAGACCCGGTAGCTTAAAGTCACGCAAGGCACGTGTACATGTGTGCCCAGGATCCCGAGAGAAGAATGAAGGAGAAGGGATTGTGGCGTGGCCATCTCCCCTGGGGGGTGATTTCTCGCTTTCTGTCTCTCTGTCTCTCTCTTTCTGTCTGGCGAGCGCACGTGCCCTATGGCAAAAACCTCTCCAAAAAAAATAAGACTGGGGTGGGAGGTGGGAAGGTGCTGTTTCTCTGTTTCTGCCCCTCTGTTCATAGAAGAAATAAACAAATTAAACAAAGAATGGAAAAAGATAAGACCAAAGAAAAAAGTAAACAGGTACCATATATAGCAGGCACAAGAGAAAAAAAAACTGTCATCAAATGTGTGTGGTAATTTCAGAAATGAAAAGGAGTTATTTTGCTGTTGTATTCTGAAAATGTTCTGCTTTCAAATAATTGCTTCTCCCCTCACTGAAAAAGAAGCAGATGTGGGGAACCAGCAGTTAGCATAATGGCTATGTCACTGGACTCCCACGTAGTCGACCGCAGTTCAAATCCTGGACCTGGTGGCTTAAAACTCACGCCGGGCGCGTGTGCGTGCGTGCCCAAGATCCTGAGAGGAGAATGGAGGAGAAGGGATTGCGGCATGGCCATCACCCCTGGGGGGTGATTTCTCGCTTTCTGTCTCTATGTCTCTCTGTCTGTCTGGCGAGCGCATTCGCCCTATAGTGAAAATCTCTCTAAAAAAAAAAAAAGAAGTAGATGTGAACAGTAATTCTGTGGTATGGGCACAAGGTGCTTCATACACATTAGGCTTTAGTATTAAAAATGTGCTTTTAGGGCCCAGTAGGTGGTATGATAGTTAGGGCACTGGACTCTCACATGACTGATTACAGTTCAATCCCTGAACCTGGTGGCTTGAAAATCACACTGGCATGTGCATGCATACCCCAAATCCTGAGAAGAGAATGAAGAAGAGATTATGGCTATCCCCCCAGCGGTCATTCTCACTTTCCCTCTCTTTGTTTCTCTCTGTCTCTCTCCATCAAGCATACACACCCTATAGCAAAAACCTAAAAATACATTTTTTAAAAAACTACTTTTACCTATGAGTTTCGATAGATTGAGAGAGAAGGCAAGTCTTTTATCTAAACCCACAGAGAGAATCAGGTATAAACAGATCTAAAAACTCACAATCTATTCCCCAATTTCAGGGCTGCCCTAATCATGACTTAAATGTAAGAGGCTCTTTCTGTTTCACTAATATTAAGCCTGGTATCTGCCTAGACAGAGATTGGCTTTCTTGTTCCTAAAAGCTAGGAAACTACTCAGATGAACGGAAATAAGCCATTCTGTAGCTCCTTCCCTCCTTACCTTTCAGCTCTGGGCTTTGTCCCATCAACCAGATATCTAGTGTCTGGGTACTGGAAAAGCAACTCATCCTGAAGCTCTACGAGTGACCTCAACAATGCTTTCAGTGCCTTGTGACCTGGGAAATGAAGCACAGAGAGGGGATAATTAATTATCTTCAATTCTCCAAAGTAGGTGATGCCTGTAACTCATGATTCCTAAGTAGTTCTGACTGGGAGGAATGAAGGGGGAGGTACAAGATACTCAGGGACTACAAAATCTGAAACACCGAGTGGGAAGAATAACTATGTCCACTCACAGGGTTGTTGTGAAAAACAAGTAAGATAGCATGTAAAAGTGCTTAGAAAAGTGTCTGCAATAATAAAGGCTCAATAAATAGTCAGTTCTTAAATTTATTAAGTTTGACAAACTGTTTCCCTGCTTGTCTTCATAATCATTCATTTGTTCCCTTGATGTTAAATTTTTCTTGGGTATTTTCCTACAGGTAACCCACCAACCTTTTGGAGTATCCCTCTATTGGTCAGCTCCTTAAGCAACTCCACATTTCCTAAAGAGCACAACTGACTCCTGGAATCCCTATAGCCATACTTCTCCTGCCCTCAGGAGAAGTATTATTTAGATTTATATAGCAAATCTAAATAATAACAATAAATAAAATTGAGTAATTCTTTATGAAAAAAAGAACTTTTTAAAAGAGAGATTTTTGGTATAGGGCAAAAATCCAGTGAGCATGTGCTCACTGGAGAGACAGAGACAGTGAGAAATCATCCCCAAGGAGAGATAGCCATGCTACAATCCCTTCTCCTCCACTCTCTTCTCAGGATTTTGGGCATGCACACACACGCACCCAGTATGAGAAGTCTCTCTTGCCTAGGATTTGAACTACCGTATCATTCATTCAGTCCCTCAAATGTCCCTACCCTTAGGGAAAGTTCTGTTCACACATGAAAACCCAAGTTAATGACTTTCTATTTGCAATATTGAATTGTGTATTAAAATGTTGTACATTGAGGCCAGCATGTAGTATGGAGGTTAAGGCACTGGACTCCCACATGGCCAACTAAAGTTTGAGTCCTGGACCTAGTGGCTTGAAATTCGTGCCGGGCACATGTGCGCAAGTGACTACATTCCTGGGAGGAAAATGGGGAAGGGATTGCAGTGTGGCCACCCCCCTAGGGGGTGATTTCCCACTTTCCCTCTTGCTGTCTCATTTTGTCTATTTCCGGTGAGCATATGTGCCCCATGGCAAACAAAAAAAAAAAAAAAAAGGCAAAAAACATACACACAAAATTTTTGTGCACCAGAGGGGTCACCAAGTGGTATGATGGTTAAGGTACTGGACTTCCACATAGCCAACCACAGTTCATATTCCAGACCCAGTGGCTTAAAAATCACAGCAGGCGCATGTTCATGCATGCCCAAAATCCCAAAAGGAGAATAGAAGAGAAGAGACTGCAGTGTGGCCATCCCTCTGGGGGGTGATTTCTCACTCTCCCTCTTGTCTCTCTACAGCAAGCTCGTACATACTATGGCAAAAACCTTAAATTAAAAAAAAAAATTATACATCAGGCCAACAAGTGACGCAGAGGGTAAGGTCGTTGGATCCCACATGACTTATCAAGATTCAAGTCCCAGACCTGGCAGCTTAAAAAACACACTAGACATATGTGCGTGTGGGGCCAAAATCCTGAAAGGATAATGGAGGAGAGAGGATTGTGGCATGGCCGCTGCATTGAGGGGTGATTTCTCATGTTCTCTCTGCATCTTTCTGTCTGTCTCTAGCAAGTGCATGTTCCCTATAGCAAACTTCTAAAAAAAGTTCTCACCTTGTTCTCCTCGTAGCCAATAGGATGTATCTGTAACACAGCTGATCGTGATTAAATACACAGCGGTGCCCTCTCATCTGTGGCTCACTTTCCATGGTTTCAGTTATCCACAGTGAACCACATCCAAAAATAGGTAAGTACAGTACACTAATCTATTTTCACAGACAGGGAAAGACTATATACATTCAGATAACTTTTACTATAGTATATTTTTTAAAAAATGTTAGGCAGTTGCCACAGAATGCTTGCCAAAGAGAGAGACAAAGAGAGAGAGGAAAATTGAGAAATCAACCCCCAGGGGAGGATGGCCACACCACAGTCCCTTCTCCTCCATTTTCCTCTCAGGATTTTGGGCACATATGTACATGTGCCCCACTCATGAAGGTTTCTAAGCACTTGGTCCAGCACCTGAACCACAGTCAACTATGTGAGAGTCCAGCACCCTAATCACCATGCCACTTGCCAGCTCCTACTATAGTATATTGTTATAATTTTCTACTTTATCATTAGCTGTTGTAATCTTGTACTATACCTAATTTACAAATTAAACTTTATCATAATTATGTACACACAAGAAAAAGAACAGTATATGAGAGGTTTGGTAGTATTGCTAGATTTAGGCTTGCAGTGGAGGTCTTGAAACGTATCCCTAATGGATTAAGAGAGGGACTACTGTGCCAGCTAATGGTGTGATGTTTAAGGTGGATGGATCCCACATGGCCAGCTATGGTTTATGTCCCAGACCTGGTGACTTGAAAAACACACCAGGTGCATGTGCATGCATGCCCAAAATCTGAAGAGAAAAATGGAGGAGAAAGGATTGTGTTCTAGCCACCCCTCCAGGGGGTGTTTTCTCACTCTCTGTCTCTTGCCAGTGACCAAATGTGCCCTATACCAAATTTAAAAAAAAAGGGGGGGGGGAATATTAGTCTATGGCTAAAAACCTTCAGATAAAACTTGGCCCTCTTACCTTTTCTATCAAAATAATCCTACCAAAGAGGCTAACTAGACACTGAGAATTACTGTTCACATGTTGAGAACATGAGAACACTCAGTCCCCTCTACAATGAAACTTTCACATTTCAAGCAACTGCCAGAAAATCTTCACATGAATGCACTATCGCTCCTTCAAACATAACATGTCAGAAAAATAACTCTTCTTGGGGCCAACAGATGGCACAGTGGTTAAGGCACTGTACTCCCACATGGCTGATCACAGTTTAACCCCAGACCTGGCAGCTTGCTTTCTCACTTTCTCTCGATCTCCGGTGAGTATACATGCTGTATAGCAAATCTAAATAATAACAATAAATAAAATTGAGTAATTCTTTATGAAAAAAAGAACTTTTTAAAAGAGAGATTTTTGGTATAGGGCAAAAATCCAGTGAGCATGTGCTCACTGGAGAGACAGAGACAGTGAGAAATCATCCCCAAGGAGAGATAGTCATGCTACAATCCCTTCTCCTCCACTCTCTTCTCAGGATTTTGGGCATGCACACACACGCACCCAGTATGAGTTTTAAGCTGCCAGGTCCGGGACTCAAACTGCAGTCAACTATGTGGGAGTCAAGAGACATAACCATTTATGCCATCTGCTGGGCCTGAAAAAGAAATTTTCTCTTCCTACCTACTACTTCTTTGTCTGAATTTCTCTTCTCTGTTTAATATGTTTCCATAGAAGGTCACTGACATTTGGCTCCCCTTAGTCTATACTTTTAATTGGATGCTAAATCCTGTATTTTTCATTCTCATCACTTGATAATTGTCCTTTTATCTCTGGCCATGCTTCTATCATTCCTTCCCTCTTTCCCCTAAGTAATTATGATCTTCTCACAAGCATGCCTACTTTCTCCAACAATCTACACATTCATTTTTTTTTATAAGCCACACTAACTTCAGCCCACACAAACTTTGGTTAAATTATTATAAATTCTTATTCTAATTTCTTTTCTGCTTCTGCTTTTACCCTGCCCTTTATAAGCATTCTTCTCACTATTTTATATTCCAACTTGTCTCTTCAATGGCACACCAAAACATGAGTTGGACAACCTCTCCAGAGGTCATCCTACACCATTCTATTCAACTGAAAGCTTTAAAAAATAAATAAATAAACAAAAACACAGCTTTCCATCAAATGAGAAGATAAAAAGTTTTCTTGTGATGAAGAGAAAAATAATACAAAATGTGTGTCTTTTAGTTTAAGAATTCTTTATTTTATTTATTATTATTATTATTTTATTTGCTTACCACATTGAGAAAAAGAGAGAGACACAGAGGGAAAGTAAGAAAGCAAGCTGCCAGGTCCAGGACTTTTAGTTTTTTTAAAAATGGATTAAGTATAAATAAGATGAAAGCAAGAAGGAAAAAAAAAAAAAAGAAAGCATAAAGATAAAACAATTTGGGCCAGTCCTATAGCCTAGTGGTTAAGGGAGCCAAATCCCACATAGTCAATCACAGTTTGAATCCCAGGTGCCAGCAGCTTGAAAAAGATACTGGATATGTGTGCTCACGTGTGCCGAAAATCCCAAGAGGATGGAGAGATGAGGAAGGGATTGCAGCGTGACTATGCCCCATGAGGGAAGGATACTTTCTCACTCTGCCTCTCTCTCTCTCTTTCTCTCTCTGTCTCTCCCTGGTGAGTGCACACAGCCTCTGGCAATTAAAAAAAAAAGGATATAACTATTTTAAAGGCAGGAATTATTCCATTTCAATGTATTAAGTAGGACAATGTAAAATTACATAAATACATGAAAAATTCTTCCAGGAATGAGGAATGCAAAAACTACAAATGGTAACTACAAATATTGTTATCGTGAGGATAGTAAACAGATATCCCATAGTAGCTAAGGTTCTGAAAGCATATCCGTTATAGCAAGCATCTTAATAAGAAAACAGAAAAGACACTGACACTTGGAATGAAACCCCTAGAAACAGAAAATCTCATCACATTCAATTTCTATGTAAGTATTAATCACTATTTTTACCTTCTTTTCTAGAAATGACTACATCTTCAAAGACAGATCGTGTGTTTCCCAAAGTAAAACCACAAATGAATTGTGCATTTGCAAAGTAGTTTTAAAAACTCCCTGGGCTCAGGGCCGGCAGATGGCGTGGTGGTTAAACGTGCTGAACTCTCACATGGCCAACCACGGTTCAAGTCCCAGACCTAATGACTTACTTTCTCACTTTCCCTCTATCGCTCTCTGATCAAACTGGAAAATAATAATAATAATAATAATAGTAAATAAATTTAAATAAAAAACAATCCTCGTTTAAAAAGCACTGGGCTCCT